GAACCTGTCCTTATGCCGAGCAGGGCGCCTGCTGCTCCCCAGTGCCGAGGGGGAAGACGCAGGGCTGCCGTGGGAGCCGGCCCCCAACCCCATCCCTCTCCCAGGGGGCACGGGACTCTGACTGCCCGTGCCCACTGATGTGCACTTGCCCCAGGCCAAGCCAGCAACTTGTCAATGAACTGGGAACAAAGGGAAGAGAGGAGGGGTAAAAATAATAAAAAAAAGGGGCCTGTATCACAGCTGTGGCCCTTCATGCCAAGGGCGTTTGGCCCATCATCAAAGGGGATCGGATTTGCTGAGGCAAATGATGACACATCCACTTCAAGCGGGGCAGGTTCTGCCTGCTGCTGGAGGCGAGCCACCGGAGTGAAGAAGTACTGTGGGCACTTAATAATAGACTCATTATTTCTGCATTATGGCAGGGCCCAGGGGCCCCAACTAAGATTAAGGCCCCTCTGCGCAGACATCGCACATGCGTGCACAAAGACAGGCAGTCCCTGCCCTGAGACCCAGCCAAGGGTGGGCAGCACTGCCAGTCCCAGCACCATTCACCATAACTGCTTCTAGCCCTGTCTGCACCACAGTAAACTCACGGCAGGGCCCAAGACTCCAAATTCAAGGATGCTCCAAGGATGCATCCTCCACTTCCCAATCCCACAACTGCACTGGTATATTAACCTCATGCCAGGAGACTGCCCCACGGCTCTGAGCCATCAGCCTGCTGCATCTCCCTCACAGTTCTCCCATCTGAGACCAATGTCCTGCACCTTCTGCAGATGACTGGGAGCTGCCTGGCTCATGGGATGGAAGGGGACAGGAGTGCTCCCTCCATCCAGTCAACCCACTAGCTGCTAACTGGCTGAAGAGGGTTTTCCGGCCACGTGCTCCACGCCAGGAGCTGTTTCCTGATGGCCGTGAGACAGACTGAAGCATGTGAGAGAGGACAGGTGCCAGCTCTGCAAAAGGCAGATCAAGTGGCTGCACTTGGGATGCGGGAATGGACGGGTGCTTGTTTCCTCCTGGTCATGCTCTGGATCAAGGCAGGGAGGGCAGATTCCTGCCATTTTGTGAGCAGGGCCATCCCACGCGGGGCTCCAGCACCCGCCAGCATCACACTGTGTGCACCTCCCGTCAAAGCACAGCACTCTGAGCCTGGAACTTCTGCAGGACAGCAGGCTCCCGCCCTCTAGTCGCACGCCAAGGACACGTGCAGCTCACTGCCCAAACCCTGCCAGGTCCTGCTGCCAGGCCCCAGTCCTGCAGAAAGGCCATACCGACGCTGGGAGAGGACGGGAGCCAGCTGCCAGAGTCCAGCCCTGCACTGCAATTACTGTTCTATTAATACCACGGGGATTTCGGATGTCAGAGCTCAGTGTGCTATGCCAGGGTCGGCTCGGCCAAGGAAGAGCTGCCATCCCTGTCCACGTGGTGGATGTGCCTTGGTACTCACTGCTTTGGCTTGACCAGGGGGAAAAGATGCCTTTGCTGTGCCAGGCTGCGGGCAAGGGGATTGCACAGACCCCTCCAGACAGCTGCTCATCCCTACCTGCTGCCAGATGCACTGCTGGACATGATACGATTGCTGCCCGCTTTGGACAGGCATGTACCTGTCTGGCCCGAGGGAAGGGGCTGCCCGCTGCAGCTCCCTGCCACGGGGACTATGCGACCAGCCATGCCAGCCAGGCAGGAGCTCAACGGCCAGCAGGCAGGACAGATTTATAGGTCACCGTC